AGAGCCAAGATTTATAGGTGAATCGGATATACATGAAGGCATTAGGACCCTTCCCAGCTTGTGGTACACCACAAACGAGCTAACTGGTAATGTGATGGTCCTTTAGCGGCCCCGGAAGGTGGCGGGCCAGTGCTGCCAAGTAGGAAATGTACTTGGTGGCCCACAACCCAGTGAAGTTGGTGGGCCACCAGCTCTCTTCCCAAAATGTAACTAGTGGGCCACCACCTACGTGCTACTTGGGATGTATGCTCAGTTATCGTTCCTTATAAGGTACAGCCAATGTGCCGTGAATGCTCTTGAGACTAATCCCGCCCCTGAGTTGCGTGTTGGAATGGCGTAACAATGTTGAAAATTCCATCATTTCCGAATCCATCTCCTCTTTATAGTCTAGACACCCCTTAAAGTGGCCATAAGCCACTCTACCCTACCTTTTCATTGGTGCAGTTTGATAATGTCTGGAGAGGATTTGTTCTTGAACTTGCTCTCATTGCTGTAGCGAGGCAAATGCTTGGATCCCACTCTTGACTGGTGAAACGATAAATAATAAATGCTGATATCAACCATGCAAGAGTTATTTAGCCACAATAAGTAGAACTTTTTCCAAAAATTAAAATACACCACTATGTTCACTGTTCAAACTTATTTTACAGCCCCCATTCTACACAAATTTTTATAGGACATCCGTTCTCATATTTGTGAACATCTCCACTACCAAAATAAATCAGGGATGATATACACTCTTAAGAAAATTCCGAGCGTTTAGGGAGTAAAAAGTGAGCACTATGTGTGCTAGTTCAAATTTACTCTCTTATTACTCACAAAATGTTGGTGAGTAATAAGAGAGCAAATGCTCCCTCATCACTTCATCATTTGTTATCCACAAATTCAAGACATCTTCATAGCGTCCAGGCCATAAATACGCTCATATTCCTATTGAGAATCCTTTTGGAACACGTAAGGATTCTTCTGCATAGAAGATCTAGAATGCAACGAGGGTGTTCGTGAACTCCAACCAACCATACCTCAACTTAATGAGGTAAGGAAGGACTGATATTCCGGACACTACACGGAATCATAAGAGGTGGTCCGTCCTCTGACATGTGCTGTAATCAGTACAGTCAGAGATAGATCAACGCCTGTACTGTACAAGAGCGAAAGCGACATGTAGTATAAAGTATACTGTATATGAGAATTTGCGCATCTGCATGACATCCCTATCTCTTTCTGAGGGGAGCGTTTTTATTCACGGAGGAGGAAAGCAATTTTACTCCTTGGTGATGGAGCAAATTCGCTCCCTTCCCAAAGTGAAAGTGGAGTTAGCGATTTTACTCTCTTTTTTGAGAAGAATCGCTCCCCTTTTTCTAAGAGTGTACACTGCCACTCTCTAGGGTCTCATACGTGTTTTTTCTTCCCCGATATGTCATCCTCTGGTGGCCATAGGTGGAGGTATCTCTCATCATTTAATATACATAGAATGATTTTTGGAATTGTTGAAAAGGCATTGAAATGCACTTCTAAGAGAACAAACCTACTCGTGGAGTAAAAATTTATTCATTGGCATGCTATTGGCTACTGTAGCTCCTAAACTTGCTTCTCTACATTTGTGGACATTAGGTACGTAAGAACCATTTTGCATGTCAAAATTCTTAGAAATATGAAAATGCAATTATTTTATTCTAAGATTGTGCCGCAATAAAAACTCTGTCAAATATAATATTCACAGTAAAACCACATTTGTTCGGACTGAACTTAAGTTCGGACACTATAACATACAGTATTACAAAACCAAGCGTTCATGAGCTTACCCACGGGCACAGTTCTTCGTTGCTAGTGTCTGAGGGTTGCCTCTCAGATTCTTGGTTTTATAACAATTTATTTTACGGTATCCGAACTTAGATGGTTTTACCTGTTATGTTATTAAATTAATTAGCATTCCAGTATGAGTGATACATATCGCTACGCAACAACCTCCACGCGCCTCCAACAATAAAATATCTACCCGTACCACCAAATCAGGAGAAAAACAAGGATGGAACTCCGTATTAGAAGAATGATGAGATAGATTCAAGCATGACGTCCAATGCCACTGACACGCATCTGAAAGTTATAGCGCTATAGAGTCCACTCTCCGTGGACATGCAAGATGTTTAGATGTATGGTTTCCCTGAATGCATGATGTCCTCGTACGTGGGAAAACAAGTTTAGGAGCTACAATAGTCAATAACATGCCAATGTACCCAGTAGCACCCCAATATTGGATCAATATTGCCTGCCAAGGAATATAACTTACATCTTGGCCCAGTATTGACACCCATCTTGGATCATTATTGGAATTACTACCGGGTCCCTTATTGGGCCGATATTGGCGCTGCTATATGCCTTAAGGCATCATCCAATGAAGATTTTCTGCTTACAGTACTTATACTGCCTCTACTAGTATAACCCCTACCCATGCACAGGTCTGTCTTATGGCTATACGGGAGACATAGGACAGTGCTAAGGTTGATAGTTCTGTATATCTGATATTTCCGTTACTGTACCATACTTGGTCCATCCTGGGGATAATCAACCCATCCATGCTCTATGACGTATACACGAGATCAGTTTCTCATTTCCTTCTCTAAGGACAGAATAATCATTCTGACTTCAGGATAAGAAATTGATAGACAGAGCCTGCGGATAACTGCAGGGAAATGAAACTCTTTTCGAATGAGGGGAATTCGCTCTCGTAAGGGGTTCTCATAGGGAATGTGAGCTTGTTTATGGCCTGGGCTCCATGATTTTCTCTTAAATAAGGGGATAAGGAATGGTAATGTGCCCAAATTTATTGATTGCTATAATGAGACTAGGCGAGACATATGGCGAGGTACTAAACACTCCTGTGAGGGATGATTGGACATTGGAGGACCACAATCGCCCAATGTGAACCCCACGAAAATTTTTTATCTGGGGTTGTTACTCCACAGGTAAGTGTGTTCTCTCAGAAGTGCATTCCACTGCCATAGCAACAATTCCAAAAACCGTTCTATGCATATTAAATTAAATGATGGGAGAGACCTCCACCTATGGCCACCAGGGGATTACATATCGAAAGAAAACATGTATGAGAAACTAGAGAGTGGCAGGATACACCGTCTCAGATTTTATTCTGATGTTCACAAATATGAGAACGATGTCCTAGTAAAAGTTATGTAGAATGGAGGTTGTAAAATGGATTTTTTTTTTATGTACACAAATGTGGACACTATGCAACAAAGGTTCAACTAATGTCCTTTAAAAACGTCATAATAGGAAACTGGAAATCAAACGGCACCTTAACTGAGCGTCCAAAAGCTGCGTGAACGAGACCGGACGCCGAGCGACATATTCCCCTTCGATGAGACCTAAAAGGACGGTGTGGAATACTCTGGATGACTCTTACGGTTAGACCAGGAGTGTGCAGCCTTAATTGGCAGCAGACAATTAGACATTTCAGACATCTATTCCATCCCATTTTGTTTTCTTCTTATGTTATATGATAGTGAAGAACTTAAATTCATTGATTGCATTCATGCAATTACGTTTCAAGCACATGATGCTAGAGCTGAATTCGTTATGTTCATGGGTTCCAAAAAATATTAAACATTTAGCTTCCATCTGATGAAGTCCTATTTTTCAAAGCTTTGATCACATGGCAATTGCTGTAAGACCTAGGGACTGATTTTTTTTTGGAAATGTGGAATGGACAGGAAACTCTCCTGATCTGGATGCGGCTGAGAACATTGGGGTTATCCTGAAAGATGGAGTTGAAGTTCATGCACATGGAGGGCAAGCAGAATGGATTCTCCCAGGCAGCCTTGCAAAGCGACATCACCAGGGTGTTGAAGGACATGGAAGATGACACTGAACTCTTTAAGTGCCTCTTTTCATCTTACCCCGCTCGTATAAAAGCTCTAAGAGACAGAGCCAGGGTGCATAAAAATTATGAGAAGTACATGTTAGATTCAAAAATGAATGCCCTTTCTCAGGATATATATGTTTTTTTCCTAGCTCTGATAGTTTAGGCTGTGGAAGGGGGACCTATCTATGTGTAACACCTGGTACATTCCAAACCACTTTTTAAGTAGGAAAAAAAGGTAGACCCCATGAGCCTCTGTGTCAAATATCAGTTGCATCTGAAAGCTCTTTTAAGCCGTTTGACCCTTTCAAAATATATACAATCACTAAAAATTGGTTTAATGGCCAAAATTGGGCTAACTAGTTGAAGGTGAAGGTACGGTGCCACTGTACCTTCACCTTCAACGTCGCAAACGGCGCACAAACTTTTTCCTCAACCTAGTATTTAAACTGAATTTTGAGATGATGGAACAAAGAACATTACTATGCTTAAGGTGTAATGATCCACATGTAAACTTTTTAACAAGACAATGCATGGCTCAGAGAATTATTCTGAAAGATAACCAGACCATCTCAATACCTTGCATGTGTCCAATATCAATATCATCATCTACCATATCATCTTTTCTTCATCACCATATATATACTGAATTCAACTCCAGCATATAAGTGAATCAATCCTCAGGGAGGCACTGGGCTCCAACATGGAGAGCCAGCAATGATAAATTACGTAATGCAACAGTCTCAGTCATAGGTATTTTACTGTGCATTTGGCCCATGCATTTCTAATCTGCCATACCTGTTATTAATGAGACTGGTGAGGGAAGAAGGAGGTTGCAAGAAGAGCTAAAATCATTCAGACATGATAAACCACTTATCCAGAGATGCTCCCTCATTGGCAGGATAATATTAATCCTGATCTGATGTCTTCACTTTATCAGCTGCATAAAAATCTACTGAGGTTTGTATGACTGTATAGACTTAATTTGAAGAGGTATCCCAGAGCTGGGCCACATTTCAAGATTCAGAGCACAGGGCAAGGTTTTCACAGTTCTGATTCTGAGTAATAAGAACTGTGAAAATATTTAGGCAATATTTAATGCTGGCAAACACAGTGGGGCTTTTTAATCAAGCAGGATACTCTGAATGGCAATATCAAGAGCACTCTTTTGGGAATCAGGATGTGAGGGGGGTGGAAGTTCTGGGGTTTGCAGTTGAGCTGTCTGTAACTGCTGCTGAACCTGTTGCTTCTCAGCCTGGTATCGCTCCTTATCCTGTTCATACTTCATGTAATACACCTTCTTGTCTTCCTGGGAGAGGGCATTCCATTTGTGAGCCAGGATTCGAGTGATATCCTGCTTTGATGGTTGTATTCCTTTCTCTCTGAGATACTCCTCCTGGACTTCAGAACGTTTTTCATTACAAAATTGGAGGTAAGGGTTACTGGGTCGCTTTGGCAAATCTGACTTTGCCCGTTTTCCTTTCACACTCTGAACTGGAGGAAGAGTGATCTTGGGGAGATCTTCAATGGTGTATGTGATAGGAACATTGTGATAGTCATCTCCATGTGTATCTAAGCGCTGCATGAGGAATCGTCTCTCCTTTCTTGTCTGTCTTAATGCCTTTTTCACCTGCTGAATCCGATAGACCAGGCGTTCATTATCCAGCTGAATCTGCTCACACTTTGAAAGGAGGTAATCATACTTGCGCCGATAGAATGCATTCTCAGCTGCACTGTGCGATGTCCCAAACAAGGCAGGTCTTGAGAGCACTGAACATGTGTATGGGAGAGCATAATTATGGTCCAACAGAGGAGTGTAGAGAGATGGATCTATAAGGATACGCTTCAGATGTGGAGTCACAGAGTCTCCTTTGCCTACAACCCACTGTGCCACTGCTTCCATGCTGATATGTTCACTTTTCACCTGTTGTAACAATAGCAACTATACCTTCAACCTGAAAAGTAAAAGTTATTAACCAATGTGAAAAATGTGGGACTTGACTTACACTCCAATATTACCATTCCAAGCCACAACAGACAGAACATGGCTTACACTAGCATAACCTTATGCTATTTTGTAATAATAATAAAAAATGAAATGCCTGCCATAGACATGTCACACTTGAATTATTAAAAGAAACAGGACTGAGCAATACAACCATATAACACTTCCAAAGGAAATATGCAATGATGTATTTATTCTTCAAAGCTCAATTTCATTTAGAAGCACATACCCAAGACATTCTACATACATAAACATGCAAAAATGATCAAGATGGCTTGCACATGAAGATTCCTATCCTGGAGACCTAGTCCATCTTAGGGACACTACTGTGGCCTCTGACCAATGGTGTTTCCTTGAATGTGATCCCTGATCAGTACAGGCTCATTTACTAGCCTTGGGAAATATTTCTGCTTTTTTCCCATCCAAGAGTGTGCTTTAAACATTGTCTGGAAGTATTCACAAATGGACCCTTTACAAAGGAGAAAGCCACATAAGCACACCATCATGAAAGCATTATAATGTTTGTAGCATGCATCCCATTTGTAATGCCACATATAAAATGGCAGTGCTTATGACATGCTCAATCCAAAATCCAAAGCTTTTTCCTTCACAATTTTGTCCAAAATACCCTCTTCAAAATCAGTGCCTCCATAGCATCTCAATGAGATATCCTTGAAGCACATGGTACTAGGACCCCCTTCATCATGGACTGCATTTGTTTTCATGATCTGCTATTGTTGGGTACAAGGAGCAAAGACAAAGAGAGAATGAGAGGATAAGTGTGGGTTGGTCCTGTATAATGAACTCATCCAATAAAAATTGCTTCCTTCTTCAAAAAATACTCAAGGCACTACCTCAGGTGGAAAAATTAATGAATGTTTCCCAAGTAAATGCATTTGTCTGCAATTGTGAGGATTGAGTCAATATTAGTTGTTAGCAAGTTAATCCTTTCCCTGGCTAGGATATTCAGATGTTTCAAGAATGTCGGCATAATATTACACTGATGCCATGGAAAGGAATTCATCCAAGACGGTCCAGACCTGGTTCACCTGCAAATCATGCAAGGCTACCTTAAATTTGTAAACTGCCATCAAATTGGCAAAGCCATTTTGTATTTATGTCAGTGGAAACTGATACTTTTCTCTAAAAGATAAAAGGAAGTCCATTGGGAACTGTTGCCCTAATGGGGAATCATATCTGGTGTGTAAGAAGTAAGCAGAAAACAATGAAAAAATTTCAGAAAAATCAGAGAAAACCAGCAATCAATAATTCAGTAACTTCTCCCCTGCAGCCCCAAGATCCCATACAAGATCCCCATAAGAATTAGTATCTGCATATCAAAGAATGAAGGAGTTATCCATTAGGGAGCCCATCTCTACATCAATAAAGTGTGCAATAATGCAAAATTCAAAAATTAAATTAAATTAAATGATAACCAAAAGTAGAGGAAATCAATAAGCTGAAAACATACCCCTCCCCCCCCTGGTAATTCCACATGTTATGCTGGGATAAAATTGCAGACAAGGAATAAAAATGTTCAAAAATTCCTATGTAAGTCTGGCATATACCTCAAATTGCAGTCACACCTGTGGAAGGGGTTGCCTCATATACTCCAATGCTCATGTTGTTGCACACAGGAACTATGACATGTTGGCACATGTCATGCAAAATTGGCCCAATATATAGGGACATCAAAATGTCAGTCAATGTGGCCTCCTACTGCAATTATGTGCCAGAGTGTTTGCTTCAAACTCATTCAGTCAGACGTACTTGCTCATTTTTATCAAGTATGGAATATCTAAGATCACATTATTGACTTCAAATTTTATTGGATACCTAACATCTGGATTTCTTTAAAACTCCAAATCTTGTCAAAAAAAACCATCAAACTAATCATGAAAATTGATTCAGATTCAGAAACATCAATAAGAAACTTTATAAAGTAAGATAAACATATTTTACAAGGTGTATGATAAGTAATTCCCTATTTTGAAATGCTCATAACTCTTTCATTTTCCAATGAAATTTAATGAAACTCTGAATTGTGTGTTCGTGAGGTTTTTGTTCTTCCACACTTCACACTTCCATGTATGCTCCTGCATTGCCAACACATTTCCTTAAGAGAATGGGTATGTTTCCCACTGCTGATAGTAACGTGTGTCGAGGTATGTTGTTAAGAACATTGTTGATTCTTTCTTCCAGTTCGTTACGATTTCTGGGTTTAGTACGGTAACTTGGGGGTAACTTTTTCTTTAGCCCAGCCCCACGGAAAGAGGTCACAAGGTGTTAAGTCAGGGTTGCAAGAAAGCCATTCATTCACACCTCATCTTCATCATTAACCCATTTGTCATTAACTTTTGATTTCTTTTGATTAACTTTTGACTATTCTTCATTGCCTTAGCATCCAGTATTGCATGAGGACCATTTTCAACCCTCCAGCCTTGCTGAACTTTAATAATTGATCCCCAAACTTTGTAACAGGCAGTTATTTTGGCCCTTTGTTGAACTGTTAGTCTGTTGGCCATTCTTTAACCTAAAACAAAAACACAAATGAATATAAAAACCTCACTTGTTGGTGCATAATTCAGTTTGTTTCATTAAATTTCATTAAAAAATAAAAGAGTTACAAGCATTTCAAAATAGAGAGTTACTTATCATACACCCAGTAGATATGGAGATTTCATATGGATAAATAGAGAAATAAGATTTTGCATCAGAGTAGATGTGTATTACATATATATTAAATAGCATAATACATTGTGTATTATTCTCCTATCCATGAGAGAGGTTGAGTCATCTTTCCCAATGCTCATGCATTTACATACAGGAACTGTGAAGTCATATTTTCCCAAAATCTAGGAGCATTGCTTGAAGCATTGGCCATTCTAAAAATGCATTATGGTCACTCACATGCCTTAAATTCTGCTTTGAATTCACTTGTCTAGACTTTCTTGTTCTACAGATTATTTGCTCCAGACTAACTTGGATGGTTATCCTTCATTATGTGCACACTGAGCACACTGCATGAACACACCCCCACAATGCAGACTTCTTATTGTGTACATTACTTCCTTGTATTCACCATGTGTCAGGTAGACCTACTAATCTCCAATGTTTGATGGGACACCTCAACTGGACATGACATCGTTCTGACATCTCAGGATGTGTGAGAGAGATATGTCAGAAACACTGGACTCAAGATCTTGAGAAGCAGCTCGAACTGGAGGTTCACATGGACTCAACCAACTGAACCTCAGGCACCATCACGCAGAGGGAGAATCTCCATTTTGAGCTGCTTCTCTGGAGTGATAGGTCTCAAGTCTGGTTTTCCTGATAGCTCCCACATGCACCCTGAGATAAACTCAATGATGTCCAGGATGACCGACAGAGAAACAATTGGCCATTGAATTAATGGTGCAGCACTGCTCTCCAAGGCTTTGACGGGAGTTCTGGGCTTGCCTGAATGGCGACTACATTACAATGGTATGTGCAGTAGAGATAATGTCCACATGAAAGAATTTCTATTCCCATTGACCTGCCTACAAATAAGGATATTGAGGCTCCTACCAGGGAATCATGAAATAAGGTTTATGGGAGTTTTTGATTCGTAGAAGAAACTTAGTAAGAACTTGAGGTTCCAACAATTTCAGGTGTGCCATGTCTGATGTGTAGCTCAACAAGCACAAAACGAGGACATCTACATCCCAAAGTATGCACTTAAAGGGGGTGCACACAAGTTGAAGTCGGCATTGCCTAGGTGTTCACAAAAGGATCCTCTCTTGGATTGTCTTACCATTTAAGAAACACTATAAAGCAGAGGTCACAAAAGTGTCTCATGTGAAGCACATGTCCAGAATAGGAATCCTCTCCTGCAATGACCAGTAATGATTAAGTCTTAATAGTTTTGAAACAGACATATGGAAAGTCATTTCTTTCTGCAAAGCAAGCAACTAGGTTTCGCTGTATGCATGACCTACTAGGCCTTCTTTGGGGGTAGTACATAATTAGGCAAAGGTGCTATAATGGCTTAGTGTCAATAAAACACTCAGGCCTAATGGCATTTTCCCTAACCTACTTCAAAGTCACTTCACTTTTGCAACCTTCTGGAAAATCCAGGCCTAAGTTACAGCTGCTAAACTATCACAGGTGTGAGCATATCTGTCTGTTTCGTGGAAAAACAATATGCCAAAAGCCTTTTCTATTGGCTTTTAGACCGTGAGTATTGGAATGGATACTTTCCTTGATACAGTGTTTTTCATTTGACTTCGACACTCATGCATGGGGAACGTCCAATGCACTTGTGTCTGAGTCAAGTGAAAAACTGTCAAACTCGAGTGAAAAATATTGTAGACACACCTAAGTGTGTGCATCGAGGGAGTGATAATCTCGGCTAACTTCTCTGGTCTTACATGAATCCCACTGAAATCCAATTTCAAGGGCAGTGACAGATTACATGCCAGAGGTTCCCAACCGAAGTTTCGCTACCCACTCCTGCAGCGCTTAGGACCCAGGCATGACACAAGAATAAAAGGTATCTTTTGTCATGCGTGGTGTCCTTTCACGTGTATACCTTTCTCTTACCAACAACCTTCCTTTGGCGATTCCGTCAAATACGTCGGGAACCGCTCTGATATGCCTAACACCACCATGAATGCAGTTCACGCTCGTAGCAGCAGAACGCCATATGCCAGGCTGGGTGCATAGTTGCCAAAGGTGTTCCTCACTTTGCCAACCTACAGAAGTTTTAAGGCCGGAATGCTGAAACCTCCTTTAGTTAACGACCCTTTAAGAATACATGGACTTCTATGGGAGAAAAAGAGCTCTTTAGCTTAAAGACCTCCTTATCTTCCCTAAATGAGGTTTGTGCATTCGGGTCAACGAACTACTTCTTTTTTTTT